GGTGAGGAGATGGAATGTCTTTGAATGAGCTGTATTGCTGGAGGCCAGGCTAAAGGCGGAAAGCCATCATAAGAAGTAAGAGCTGAAGGAGGGCTGCAGTGAAGGCATGGGGGATACAAGTGTTTCTGATGTCTGTGGGTCAAAGACTGCAAAGGAGTTTCCACAAAATATAAAATATGATGATATTTTGACTTCATGGGTATTTGTTCAGTTACTTTTGAACCCCTTGGATCACAAGTAAATGTGTTAAAAGGGCTAACTCTTCCACACATGTATAATCGATAATCAAAGCTGAGACCTAGCATTTTAATGTAGTAGCCATTATTTTATTTCTACTTGAGAGTGGTGAAGCACAGAGCCTGGACAGAAAAATGTGTCCGAATACTTATGGTCTGGATCATACTCTCAATGAGTCACAGTTTGTAAGAAATACGTGAGACACCAACTTTTTCTTCTTTTTTTGTGCACTCTCTATACTCTACAGAAAGAGATTGAAACCCTGAGGAAAGACCTGACAAGTCAGATGACTGAGATGGAAGTACTGAAGGTAAATTCATTAGGGCTTGAGATTCTTCCACTATGACTGAGCAAAAACTAATAGCAAAATTCTAATGAAAAAAAAAATAACTAGATTTAAACTGAAGCACTCAAAATATGTCATATTTCATCAGCTTTCAGTTTCTGTGGAACACTGATTGTATAAGCTTATTACTGTGTTGTTATTGAGATGTAAAGCTTCACAAAGCACAGACACATTCATAAGGGTAGTTTTAAATGTATTCAGCTGCATAATTTTGTATATCTCCAACTGTTGTTTTTACTCCCTGTTTGTGATTTAAGATTTCAGGGTAATGGCATTCTGCCTTTTATTTTTCTTCTGCACCAGGGTCAATGTGCAACTATCAGTGAAGAATTGAAACATCGGCAAAGGAGCTCAGAGCTAACTAACCAAAAACTTCAGAAAGAATTTGAAGATGCATCTTCAGCAACAAAAGCTCTGGAGTCAAAAATTCTGGTACTGATAAACTTAATAATTCATCTTAGTCCAAAGATAATGTTACAAAAAAGCAATGGTTTAAAAAGATTGTGTTGGATGTTTTAGACAGCTACCTTTGTCATTTCGTTTTGGTTTGTATAGAATATCAAGAAACTGACAGAACATTTGGAAAGGATTCAGTGTGAGCACAGGAATATGTTAGACAACCTTGAGAAGGAGAAAAAACTTAAAGGTGATCATCTGAGAGTCGCTAAGGTAAGAAAAGAAAAGTTAAGGGTTGTGTGAAGCAATTCTTCTTTGTTCAAATATCAAGTTGCTAAGTCAGGTTTACTAAGTGTCACAGCTTTTTAATCATGTCATATTTTTGGTGAACAAAGTATTGATCAAAGCTGTTTGAACAAAATATGGTTGCCTGACTTTTTTTTGTCAGCATTAATGCCACTTTTTGCTTACAGGATTTACACACCACCACTATAAGGAGCTATGACTCCACTCTGGGCAGGATCAGTGACCTCACAAAGAAGATTGAAGAATACAGAGATGCTTCAGATAAAATGGAAAAAACGGTTGAAAACATGACAGAAGTCATAGCAGAACTTCAGTAAGATTAGTTTTAGACAAGAAACACTATACAGTGATTGCTGGTTTAAGAAAAAGGACTATTATGATTGGATTATAGCTTTTTTTAATAGGCTGAGCAGTATCAGCCTTTTTGAAGCAAGAAGAATAAATGCTCAGTGCTTATTAATCTTGCTTTCTAAAACGTTTGGAATTTCTTTCATTTTAAATATTAATATTACTTCTAAAAGGTTCAATATCTTTAAATATGTTGATTTATGCAGTATGAATAATTTTAGAAGCGTAATAACTTTTTATGTTTGCTTTCTCCTTCCAGAAGTGTGTTTGATGTGGTGGATTTCAGAAACAAATCAGCTGCTCTCATAATGAGCACCTTGAAGTCTGATATTAATAACTGCCAACAACGAACACAGCGATCCGTGCAGACACACACTGCTCATGTTACAGCAAGAAAAATGAAAATGGAACATACCAAGGTAACAAATTGTTGTTCAGTATAACTCTGTAAATACATGATTTTTTTTCTGTCAGTTGCTGTGAAATCAGAGATGAGCTGTAAAAAACATCTCATTGTTTATTTGTTTGTGGATTAGTGTCAGCACATTGCTTGTCACAATACTTCCCTTAAGATGCAGCGGAAAGAGCTGTGTGCAATTAAAATTACAAGCCATGGTCAATCTTGTTTAAGTGCTTTTCCCACAAATGACAACTCACTATTGTTATAGTCTTTTGTCTGGACAAATTTGATGATGCGTGTCGTGGTGAGATGCTGTGCCTATTTTGTTACCTGTAGGCCAACATTTTCAACAGCAGTCTCAATGTAAACATACAGTTCACAGTATGAAACAGGCATATAATCTGGACTGTTTTATATTAATCTCAAAAATAATCTCTTGTAAAAACATGAGGATACTGTGCACAAAATGGCATGTATTTGAACACTCCTATGTAAGAGAAATTCCTATTTATTGTAAGGTTTTCATCTGCAGGATTATCAGCCCCAGCCAGAGCCTCTTTGCTGATGGGGGTTTCACATGGCTTATCTAATGTGAAATCACCATGTGGTATATAGTTTCATTAAACGGTGATCAAGAATGCATTAGTTCAAAACAAGAAAAGGCAATGGAGCTTAAGCTGCCATGCATCCAAGTGCAGCAACTTTAAAGAAGTTGTTGGCGTGAGACAATTTAAGAATTAGAAGTCTTCCTCATAGACACAACTCCCATTAGCCAGATAAAAGTTAGCCATGCAAAAAAGGGTTTAGCCTTTTCACTTGACGAAAGAAGATGATATAACAACGGTACTCCTCACCAAATAAAAAGATCAGAGAGAATTGGAAGTTCTTAGGAAATTGGTCACTTTAATCACTGGGACCAATATAAATCACACATAATGTCTACATTAGCATAACATAATAAGAAGTGTGTGCATTCAGAAATCACAGTGCATGAAGCGGAATGGTTAGAGACTTTCAGAGATGAGATTTCTCATAAGGATGCTGACCCAGTACTTCTCTATACTCTCATACATACTCCTGTAGGTTGTGACTTTTCTATTAAACAATGACTTACACAGGTTAGTATAACCAGTAGCCTAATGGGAGGTTGTGTGTGGCTGTATTATGGTTACTTTTAAAGACACAAATACAATATCGAGTATATCAAGGTGAAATAGGCCAACTTCTTTTGAAATCTGTGGTCATCGCAATACAGATCAGACTTTCATACAAACACCTATTTTTTGATTTGATCAAGGCTTGTCGTATGGTGAGGACAAAGTAAACAATGCAAACTGCCGACGTTATCAGTTTCTTATGGGCAATGAAGTGTAATTTGTTCCATTTACACTTCACAACAGCATCAGATGGGCTTTGTCAGTGCTGCATGGAGTAATTAAACCTGAAATCAATAGCAGGCATTTGTCATGTTTACAGCCCCTCTTTCTGCTGGGTTAAACTCATCACTTTAGTGCTGTTCTGTTTTACTGCAGAGACACACTTCATTATGTCTGCAGGTAGAGTTGAGATATTCGCAAGCCAAATATCCAGTACATGGGAACATTGTTCAGATCAAAAGAAGACATGCAGAGAGACACATACTGACTGTGATTTATTTGCTTGATTTCCCAGAATGAATCCATTTTTGTATGCTTGTTCTTTATATTGCCTTAATTAACAGCACAAATACAGAATGCACAGACCTTATTTTACACACATAGCAGGTCAGCAGTACAACTAAAGTATCTTATAAATAAAACTGTTCTTGGGTACCTGTACAGATTGTGAGTCATGAAAACACTGAATTATGTGATCATTCATTATGTGTTTTACATCTGTATGGTATGTCATGCTGCCTCAGCAGTTGTTCTGTAGCTGTGTTCTATAAACAAGTGGTCATCACACCAACAAAAAGCATCAGTGAATGCCTATTGTTGAAATTGTAGAATTCCCATTTAAGGTTCCAATCCCTTGTGTCATTTTGTAAGAACATGTTGTTGACAGGGATGCACCAGTCATATACACCAGATGTGACTGATCCACATTGAATGTGGTTGCTTTGTCAAGGCCATTATAGAATTCATTGTTTTCATTGGCTATGTTCATTCAGTCCTAGTACTAAAGGGTTTTCATAATCCTTGGTCCAAGATCCATGCAGTATGGTTCAATTTACAGATTTAAATTTATAGGAAAAAGAGAAAAAATGTTATTGAATTGATAATGACATACTGAACTGGTGTATCTGAATCAGGACTGGGAGACAAGAAGTCACTGCAATGCATAACTAGTGACAGTGTAGTTTATCTATGTAACAATTACAGTAGTTAGAGTATTGATCTGCAGCCGACCTTGTGCCTGCTTGTGTTTTTGTGGTTATTTAATAGGCACTGTAAACATATTGTTTACATTTCCTGTTTTTCCTAAGCCTTTTGTTTTGGTGTGTGTAGGAAGCACTCAAAATTGCACTGGAGGAGAACAAACGGCTGGCCAAAGAGTATGAATGTTTTAAGAAGATCCTCATGGAGGCCAGACAGGAGGCAGTGTCTGCACTGAGCAAGAAAAACCATGAACAATCATCTTTTCATTATTACACACAGGTAGGGTTTATGTTTTTTTTTTTTGTTGCTATATATATAGCTCATTTCACCATTTTTGTCTCCCTTTAATTATGTTTATTAATTTAAGATTCCAGCTGTTATCTTATATTCTGTTTCCTTTATGGTCTAGTTCATGCTGCTCTGCTTAGCACTAGATACAGTAACTCATCTTTGCATGGGAAGTAATTTGAAGATTTTAACTTGGCAACCAGAGGAGATTAGATAGCAGTCTAATAATGATAAGATAACTTCAGTCAAGGAAGATAATACATGTGACATAATGTAATGATAACTATATAGTTTTACCACCAAGGGGAGTAAAGCTATAAGTTGATGGTACATGTAAATACTATAACTAACACATTTCCTGATTATAGTTATTTTTTTAAGCAGTCACAGGTGAAATGTTTTATTGTTGTGCTTCAAATTTGCATCTGCTCACCACAGCTAATGGTTAGAGATCAGCTGAAACCTCAGGTTGGGATCAGACAGTGAACATGCCTTTGTTGCTAAAATAAGGTATTGACTACTTGAGGGAGACAACTCAGTAGCATTTGCTGTTTAATCTTTATCATTTTTGACACACTTTACCAGGAATAGATCTATAGGTGACAACCATAACATCAGGAAGAAGCCACATTGCTCCTGCAATGAAAAATACATATTATTTGTTCCAAAAATGACTAATACCTTTACTTGAGCAATTCCTCATCTAACTGCATGAATGTTATCAAGTGAAAAATGCATGCAAAAATAAAATCCTGTGGACAGGATTTTCCACGCTCATGATCAAAGCCTGATTTTCTTTTACTCCGGATTCAGCCTTCACCATTTTTGTTTGTTTCAACTCTACACTTCTGCAACAGCAGCCTCTCAGCTTCTGTTTAAAGACTAAATTTAGTTTTTATATGAAGCTTACAATTAATAACGTTTCTCAAATATAGATGGAGGCATATCATATTGAATCCAATGATTCAAGTACACTTTTTTCTGTTTTAAATTTCTAGTTATCTTTATATGGTTTGCATTTTATGCCCCAGTTATTACATATATTACACAATGTGATTCTCCTTAATGGATTTGTTTGTAACTGGTAAGGTACAAAAGGTAAATGCATTTAACATTGTCAGGATCATCTGAGGGATCACTGTGAACATACGTGTTTACAGAGCCCATAATCTTTTTTTTTCTGTTGTATTCAACTGTGAGACATGATTAAACCCATTTGTTAAACATCTTTCAAATATAATCTTGACAGCAGGCTTCACTGACATACAGCTGAAGTTTTAAAACAACCTTTATTATGAGTACATGTGTTCAAGCGCTGTAATTGCAGCAAGTGCAATTTTGAGGTACTTTTACTTTATTGGAGTATTTCTGTTTTATGCTACTTTATAATTCACTATAATTCAAAAGGGGAATTTTATGCTGTTTATGATAGCTTCAGTTAATAGATAAATATTATACATACAAAAATATGATGAGCTTATTCAAATATGATGCAGTATAGTTGATTAAACTACCCTATATAGACACACACACAAGGAATTTGTCTCCCATACAGAACCGAGGCCGCCATCTGCAGCGCCAGCTCACACACACACCGATGGCACACTGTCCCTGCAAGGCGCTGCTCTGGCCATTGGGAGAAACTTAGGTTTCGGTGTCTTGCCCAAGGACACTTTGACATGTGGACTGGGAATAACAGGAATCGAACCACTGACCTTTGGGTTAGGGGCTGGCCACTCTAACTCCTGAGCCACAGCCGCCCTTGAATGGAATAGTTAAGCTATGATCGGTTTGACAAGCACATCAGTATACTGCTGCTTACACATTAATACATTGTTAATAATAATCCAGAACTATAATACATTATAATTCTTTAATCTATGTGACATTTTTAATGTCAGGCTTTGACTTATATACTCTATACTGCAGTATAGAGAATTTTACTTATCTTAAGGATCTAAATACTTTGTCCACCAGTGATGGTAGTGAATTAAATCAGTTTTCTATATTTATTACAATTGTCATTCAGGACAGATGTGACTGGACAACCATGATCAGCATTCCTTAATAGCAGAGTTTGGAGAGCATCATTAGGCACATAGTGCTACATTTAGTGTCATACCATACTCCATGATAACAGGTGGGATAAAGGAGCATACTATATATCACAAGAAAACAATACAGATTGCACCTTTAATATACTTGTATCTTAAATACAGATGATTCAACTCAACTAAGTTAAAGTTATACTCAGAAACACAAACATACAAGCCACTGTATTTTTGTAGTGGAAGAAGTATGTCCCATTTATTCATTATTCAGTCAAGACGCTCCAGAGCTTTTATTCACAATTAGAGTTAGTAATTTATTTGCATTCACATTAGGGCATTGTGTCATCTAAATTTGACAAGTATAAATACTTTAACATATGCAAAATTCTCCCATGTAAACAAAAAAGTGCATAATTAATCAGCATCTTATAGCACTTACTAGTATATGCACCTTTTATACAAATCCTTTTGAATGTACTGTACATGTAAGCATTGCTTTGTTGATGTGGAGGCTTTCAGGTCTTGGGTTTTAACAGGGTACACCATAAAGAGCATTCGTATTATTGTCTTTCCTTCAGGAGCTGATGACTGAGCTAATTCGCTTTAGTTTTCAATGCACTGGGGAACACATTGCCAAGCAATGATAAGCTTTGTAGGAAGAGTAGAGAGATGGAGGGGAAAGAAAAGCAATGGCATCTATCAGAATTTAAACCTCTTTGCTTGAAACTGTGTTCAAATAATAAAGCAAGCAGCATGTCTTTCCAAGAGACTAGGAATAATTTCTGGTTTCAGTGGGGGGTTCATGACTCTGTGTGTATGTGTAAAATATGTCTTGAGGGGATTGGTATAAAGTTAAACTGGGTGAAGTAGAAATATTTTACTCATCAGCTTTGCAGTCACAGAGTTTGCCTCGGCTAGAACAAAACTGCTGAAGCATTTAGAGAAAATTAACCCCCCATCCTGGCAGCCAGATGTGACTGGATTCTGATGAGTGCACACGAGTGGGCAGAGAAACCAAGAGACTGTGAAATTCCTGTCAGGCCCGTGTACTGCAGAATGGGCTATTGACTGCTTTCTCTATTCCCCTCCATCATTCTTCTTGAACACTGCCATTAATTTCCTCTCCTGCCTTACCAATTCCTTTTCTCTGCTTTCTCTCCCCCTAGCTCTCTTTGTTGCAGAAGAGGATGCACAAAGCTTTGGTGAAATACTTCAAACAACGCAGCCTCTATAGCCAGGCTGAACTGGATCGGTGCCAGGCTCTTTCTCAAGAGACCGACCAGAAAATAAAAACAGCCCAGGTATTTGTACATATACATGTAAATCAGGTTGGAAAACTGCACAAACTGTCACCATTCATTTAAATGGCAAATTGCTTCTTCAACTTTTATGCAGGTCCAGGTATTCTACCGGATGGTAGCATATTCTTTTGGATACTTCAGTAACTCCATGTTATACTTGGCATTGTTTGAGCGTCAACCAGCTAGTCAGTTGCTTTGTGTCTCCTTTGCCAAGAAGGTGCAGCCAGGCAAATATCTACCAAGGCTTTGTGCTTCGCTACTGTGGTAGAGTTACAGACACTACTCTTACAGTACCTTAAAGTCTATACACACAGTCATCAGATCTCAGACAGATGTGATGGATGATGTCTGCAAGATTGCCTATGCAGTGACCCCAAGACTAAGGCTAGCTCTGCCTCTGTAGATAATTCTATACACATTGTGCTTAGTCACATTGCATTAACATTTGAGCCTGTTACCAGTTTAGCAGAGGAATTTATGATTTTATTTGTAATTTAGAGTGCGTTCATTAGAACACATGGAAGATATGTGTTAGAGCTTCTTCTTTCTGAGAAGAATAACCTTCTGTCTCGCAGAAGAGTAGCAGCATATTCTGCAAGGTTGAGAAGTAAGGATCTTCAATTAGAGGATAATCGGTGTCTAATCTGTGCTGTGATTCGAGATGAGGTCAAAGAGGACAGAGGGACAGTGATGAATCTTTATGAAATGTCCTGTCCGGCATTACTGCCGAGCCAGGTGGCATGCAATCAAACTATGGATCACTTTTTACTTTTACTCCTTACTTAACAATTACTTGACCTCTAACTAGCCATGTTTGTCAGTTGCAATCTGTTGTTTTTGTGTTAACTTGTTTTTGTTGGTTAATTTGTTGTTTACCAAAATTCAAATTCAGCAGACTTTATCAGGCATGATGAAGGCAAAATATGCTAAGATTTGATTAGAGGTTTTCTAGGGGAGTACCTTGTGAAAACACTATTAAGTGGTTTCCTCCTCAGTTCCTCCTCCTATGACTGCTGACATGTTTTTAGATGGATCTGGTCCAGACGTTACAAGGAGCAGCCATGTCTCAGCAGCCAAGCCTCAAAAGGCCCCAGCAGATCACAGCTCAAGGCAGGGAGGAGTGGGGCACAGGGGGAGGAGCTATCAGAGAGCTGCAGAGTGTGAAGGACAAAAGAGCTGGTGTATTCAAGCGCACCACACCGTCACCCGTCACAGCGCAATACAGGGTCCATCAGAGCAGGCAACATTCACTTTAAACAAGGTCCAACACACGACCACACAATCTGTACGATAACCTAAATATTAAGGTGTTGATTGCAATCTGTAAAGAATTTCACTGACAGTATACAGATAGTGAGAATGCACGATGCAAACTGTGTCATTCAGAACTAAACACAAAGATTCAGTTCCCAGCATATTAAAAAGAAAAATTAAGAAATCAATGGGACTGATTCCAGTTGTAACCGGTGTTAAACCGGGCTGAATCCTGATGAGGCCTGTACTAATCCATCATGTCCACTTAACCCCACAAGCAGAACATAAGCGAGGTCAGGTTAGCGCTTTTACTGTGAAGTCGTGCTTGAATCAGAAGCCAAATGGTAGTTTTCTCCAAAGTAGCTTGAGGGGAGGTAGTTCGGGGAACCCTAGGGTGGGTGGGGGTGGGAATGGGGGACGGCAGGCTGTCATCCTGTTACACTCCTGCCAGAACTGGCAGTTCAGCTTTGTGTTCTGCGAGTTTACACTAGGGATGGCATAATTGACAATGGCTAACAGCGGAGAGCAGTGCAGAGCCTTGTTGAATGGCCAGTAATGATTGGAGCAGACGCCCACTGCCCCGGTCCCAGGGGACAGTAATCCAAGATCCTGTTCTGATATAATTGTTAGTCAGAGAATTTCTGCATGGCTAGGCCGCTTCAGATTCCCAAGCTGGTTGACAGTGCCAGGCAGTTTAATAGAAAAACTGGATGCTGAGGTTTTTAAAACAGAAGCGCACTGAACCTGGACGTGGTTCACCAGGAGCCTCTTGTTCCTCCTCCCCATGAAAATATGAACAAGATGGTAACTTTACTCTCACAATTGTAGACCCATCTACTGTGGATACACATAGACAGAGGGTCTGGTATTATTGCCTTGTCACAAAAATAGTATTTTCTTAATTAGTCTCTTTTAATTTATTCTGTTTGTCCCTTTTTCAACAGGAAGGCTTGTCAGAAGAAATTCAGCTCATCTCAGCATTCCTGGAATCCCTGACAGATGACTCTGCTACCACTGATGATGCTGGGGTGAACAAACAAGCCAATCCAGATGCTGCTGGATCAAATGAGTAGATGCCTTCAGTTCAGATAGCAGTGTAATTGGATATTCACCTGTACCAGACAACTTACTTACCCTAGCACGCTTCACTATTCCCCCCTTTACTTGCAGCAAATCCATAACAATGAAACAGGTGACTTTCATGCTGCTGTCAGGACTGATCTAATTTTAGCTGGGTGAATGATTGCAATTGGCTTTGCCTCATCAGATAATTAATCTATGTCACCATTAATTGGAAAAGAGAATAATTACAGGCAGTGTTGACAGAAATTCTACGCTCCTCCAGATTCCAAGATCTAATTACAACTAGTGAAACCCTGTGACCTTAACTAGCACTTAGTACACCTTAGCCACCTTGACCATGCCCATGTGAAGACCACTGTCTCTGGAAAGACCCCGTTTCTGTGATCACACCCTGCACTCCATCCTCTTCACTCTCTGAAAGCTGTCTCCCTCAATCACTTTTCAATATTCAATCTTAATTTTGTGGAAGTTTAGCATTTTCAATGAGCTGGAGATGAATGATTAATGAATAAATTTAAATGCTTCATTTTGTCCATGGATCATTAGTTAAGTCCTTTGTGGGAAGGACCTGAGAAAGGAGTGAAAATTATTGAGACATTAGCCTGAAGCAATCCAGGGGTAAATAGTGTGCACAAAAGGATGTTGTGTGCACACTATCCACTGGCTTTCTGAAGAACCCTGGGGAAACACAGTTTTCAATTTGAAATTTTAACTGAATCACATTTAGTACTTGTAGAAAATAGATTTTTGTTTCCTCATGTTCCAACAATGTCAAACTAATGGTACACATCACTAATGTTTGCCCCCATATAGACTTTAAAGTGAAGTAAAAATGTTTATATATAAAGAATACTTATTTAAATACGGTCAGGAGTATTCCATAAATAGTTAACCTCCCATCAAGAAATAGGAATAAGTATTAAAAATAACTATTGAAAAACGACACATACTGAGATATTCTTTGCAATTTCACTTGGTTCAGGGTCGATGCTTTTAGACTGCTCCTTAGAAATATGTGTTGCCTTCTCCTGTCTGTGTCTGGTTGATAGAGGTGCTGTTGTTTTGTTGAAATGTCGGATGCCTCTCTCACTAGTGGAGACAGAAGGGGGCAGTGTGGACACAACAACCTTAGAAAGACTACAACACAGTCCATTGTACAGTATCTTAACATGCCCATAGCATGTCATCTCAAATTAAAGGTCATTATTATTCAGTCAATTAGAATATTAGCAATAGTTTTGGTTTAAAAATTATTCTTCAAACCTTTATAGTCTCTTTTATCAGTAAAAAAGTGAATTAAAGTTTCTTTCTGTAGCTTACATATACAGTACCACATAATATTGTACAGTGAGGTACAGTGAGAAACAGACACTAATGCAGTTCCTTATATAGACTACTCGCAAAGCCATGCTGCCACTAGATCACCAAAAGCACCTTGAGGAGAAAAATGTTCAGTCCATCTCATATTCTTTACTGACTATATGGCAATATCTCAAAAGAAAGTGCCTCCCTAACACATTTAGCTACTCACCTTGCACCTAATCAATCCCCTAAATAAATGAGAGTGAGCCACAACTAGATGTCATCACATTTATCTGCCGGAGTGTCTCAAAGTGCACACACCTAAATGCTGCTACTCTAAAAAGGGTGGACTGAGGAAATACTGACTCGGACTACTTGACAGCTGAGGTGTATTTTCTTTCATGTTAGACACTTGTTTCAATATGGTGAGGATGGAATATACAGCAGAAGCCTCACTGTATTGTAGTATGCTGTGGTACATGAAAGCTGGTTTGGAAGATTTTTTGTAGTTTGTATAAAGCATATTTCGCAAGAGATATGTTGGGAAAATCTGATTTACAGGCAGCATGATTCGCATTTTCAGCCTGGCGCCACCATGCAGGCGAAAAGCCCGTTTCGTCTGGATTCACTTCAGTGATCGCTTCTGATCATTGATGTGAAGCCAAGTGAACCAGAGCTACATTCTCTCTTCTCAAGCTAACCAAAATTCTGTTTTGAGATCTTTTTAAATCCGGGAAAACCGAGGTTGTCCACTTACACCACCCTGTCTTTAATCATGAGCAAGTGGACAGTTGAAACATGGTGTTGATGGAAAGAATGTAAGTAGAGAGAGGTGCTACTGTGTTTAAAATATCAATGAGGAAGCTGCTGCCAGGTTTTGGAGCACACAAGAGGGTAAAGGTCTTTTATTAACACTGAGTAGGCCACGCAGTTCTGCACTGCTACATATGGTAGCTGTTAATATAGAATATTTTGGTTATTTATTTATTTTTAACTAAACTATTTTAAACATTGTCTACTGCCCATCTGCCCATTCCATACAATGTTTGTACAGTGCAGTGAGTTATTAGGGAGTGTGCTCCTTTAAAGTTGAGGTAGCTACAGCATCTGTCATTCAGTCATAGTGTTTGGCTTACCAATACACTGGAACTGTGTTTTTGCCCAGGTGAGTCTTTAATGTGGAACTCCACAGAAAACATGCCAAACAAATTCATCAGTATAACAATACATGTTCCTTGTGTTTTTCACACTAATTTGATTTCTAAGATATTTATCTTAACAGGATAATAATTAGTGAAAGTCTCTGACATTTGTGCATGATAATAAATCCATGGCTTGGAACATTTTTTAGTTAATTAGAGTCAATCAATCCAAACTTTGCTCACTTACCGGTGTGAAACCGGAGTATAATGAGCAGAAATCAGCATGGTGATTGGAAAACACAAATTACAGCTGTTAAAGAGAAACTCATCCACTTTTCTTCTGTTGATGCCAAAGCCTGCTGCGAGGATTTAAAATTAGCATGGCGTTCCTTTAATGGATGTTGGGGGAATGTTCTCTTCTATAATTAAAAAAAACGTGTTAATATCCTTGCAGGCTAAAATAAGAGAGGTTAGTATGATTAGCTGACAACTCTTTAAAGGGACATATTGGTCAGCTGACTGTTAAACCAAACATGTCTGTATTATCATATGACTAATGCTTGTTACTATTGCTAAACCTAAATTACCTTAAGTGCTGTTTATATGACATATTAGTAATGTTTTTGTCCATGTTTAAGTAAAAAATGTGTAAGACCATTCCAGTGAGGTGGTCAGTACTGCTGCCTTAGTAGAATCATGTGGCATATTAATGAACCCCTCTGATATATACAGGACAGTTTGCTGTTAAAGGCTGTGTATATCTCTATGGGCACGGGTACATTCATATTATTCTTGACATATTCCATGCCCCTTACATTCATGGTGTAATGATGTGAGTAATAACCTGGTGAGGTTAACAGCACTCTACAATAGGACCTTTATCTGATCTAGGCTCCCAAGCAGAAGCGGTCACGATATATCTGACCTCACCACTGGGTGTAATTTCCTCTCATGAGGTCTTGGAAAGGGAGAGCTTACGTTGTTGAGCTCATGTTGTTGGGACTGGTAACAGCAGCTTGCCATTGTATTAATTATTGTCAGGGAATCCAAGGGGTGTAGATAATACAGAATGCACTGCTTGGTCCCATTTGTTTCACTTGTCAGTGGAGTGAATAATTGGGAGTGCTGACCATATTAGACAGAATTTCTAAAAGATACAACTCAAACAGTTGCAGCTCAAAAGTATGGCATGGAAATTAAAAAGCTTAATGTCTGAGAATTTCAAATCAGTATGGAATAATTTGCTAGCTTCCCACTGCCAAAGGAATTTACTGAAGTTTAACTCTGAACTATAATTCAGATACACAGTGAAACATACAGTTTAGAAGATTATGCTAAATTAAACTCTCCTTATTTTATTTGTCCCAGAGACACTATAGTAGTTCAGATGTACATATAGACATTATACAGATATTTTACATCGTTTTTCTTTAAAGGTTTGAGAACTTTGATACAGTTTTAATAGAAGTGGGTTGCTAATACAATGGGGCTCATCTTGAAATTCTCCCAAGGAATAACTATCAGTCCTGCTACAGCAGCTTCAGCGTCCCTAGGTGACCGCGCCACTGAGCCCATGCTCGCTCCATCGCACCCCACTCCACGCCTGCTGCCACCCTGAAGGTAGATGCATCACACTGGGGACACTCCGCAACAACAGCCCCTTCTCCCTCCTGCCCCCAAACCTTCTCCATGGCAGGGTGGCCTCCTGCGGCCCCTACACATCTCTGGGTCTCCACCACAGCCCCAGTTCCAACAACCCAGACTCACCCTCAGGTGAGTCTCCATACCACCTGCATGTCTCCTCCCACCTGAACTGCACAACTGGTATCCTTTTACCATTTGAGAATGCCACACATACATACTGTACACACACACACACAAACACACACACTCCTGTGTTCACTCTGGAGGGGACACCGCCTGTTCCTTTCTGCTCCTGCTCACCTCCCGGCTGCTGGCTGACTCTCTGAGCCGTGTCTGTGGTGGCTACGCCATGTTTGGGGATCTAGGGGTTTAAAACAGCAGGTCTCCCATACTCCCTGAATGGCAAATATAAGTACTTCCAATTTATTATACAATAGACTTTTTATGAATCATCTCTAAGTTTGATCTGAGATGACAAGCTCGTGCTAATCAGTCGCAATATTGAAACATACAGTACAGAATAAACTAAAGCTGTACTAGAGATATTGACTCTAAAAGTAGATCACAGTTTACTGGGACCCCCAGTCAAAACCCCTTAATATACTGCATGGTCCAGTCATTTTACACATAACTGAACTCAGATAAAATACAGGGAGACAGATGTTGAAACAAAGGAGCCCTGATCGTGTTAAGACATACAGTTAGAGACACCCCCCATCCAATTAGAGAGTGGGGGTGTTTTTAATTTAAATGTAACTGATGAAAGCTTTATAGTTTAGTATTTACTGTAACCTGCAGTTTGCATTAATTTTGTCTCACTAGAGTCTTCCTTAAAAGGCTCCCTGTAGCATTTTTGTTTCCCCCCTTTAATATTTTAACAGAATAATGCTTTAAACTACAACACTTTTAGTAAAACACAAATTACAACTTTCACTTTATAGGTTGCCATACCACACCACACTTAGTTAACAAAATATTTTACAAACAAGATGATATCACCCACTCCATGATATTAATATGATATGTTCTCTGATCTGTAAACAGCTGGTTATCTTGCTTTTCCACGATAAGAGAAAGTGCTGAGGATTTACGCTCGGTGAGCACATTTGGCCTGAATCTTTTACACGTCACAAATTGCAGATGGGAAGCAGTGATCTTGAACAGCCGATCACATTTCCGTGACCATCTGACACCTTCCATTTAGGAAAATAATACTTTCTATCTTAGCATACCCCTCTGCAGCAGCCAGCAAAAGAAATTATGCCTGGTAGACTTTGCTATTCACAACTTTGGAGCTGCTTCTTTTGTTTTGTTTCATTGCACTGATTAGATTAAATGTTCACTCTTTCGTCAGTTATTCAAGGCCACAGTATGTTTACAGTTTATGTGGTTTAGTCTTATTTTATGTGTTATTATATGGACAAAATGGCTGAATTATATACATTAAAACTATGCTATAATGTAGGCATTACACAAGACACTGTGTAGTAGCTGAGGGTACATTAATGATCTTATTATACTACTGCACTGTAAGAAATAAATGGTCAGTAGCAGGTGTCTTTGTGCACCCCCCATGTTTTTACAGATAACTCTTTGAAACCCATGAGTGGCCTAGAGTATTTAAATCTCATCTAAGTGTTGTTATTTACTCTAAAACTCTCTCCTCTCATGCTTCCAGAATGTTAAGGACAAAAAGATGTAAAGACTTTTTTACCCATGGAGGTAGAGTAGATATGGTATCTGAGTAATATGACAGATAAATATGAGTCGGGTTAACTGGTACATAGTTGTAAATCACTGTAGTGTGATTCTTTGTCTCAAAGGGTTTAATTAGTCTAGAAATTCTTCTCTTATCTGATGACCCCCCCTTCCTTCTGCACACTGCAACAACTTACAGCCATAAAGGCCCTGCAATCTGAAGACCAGTGGCCTCAGGAGACTGAATTGCTACAAAGAGCTGAAAGAGTTGCAAATGGTCATTTTATTGCGTTAGAATAGCTCGCTCGAGACTTGGGTAATGTAGTGCTAACTGAGTGCTAGTAAAGATAACAATATGGGACTCCGAAGTGAAATACAGTGAATTACTGTAATGCTCTACAGTGACGAGTGCTTTGAAAATGAGGCAGCACAATAAGAATAGTAAATGACAATACAAACTACTTTTTAGTGGTTGTAAACCACTAATTAATACCACAGTATAATAGTTTTCCTTCAGTGATGATGATTATTTGAGATGTGGTGCGGAGTCTAATCAGTCATCTCATACTGGATTTGTTCACCGGGTGGGGGATTTGCAGGCTTGTCCAGCCCTCAGACATCAAACAATGTTCTGGTTCCATACCTATTACCTATATGTGGCCTGTTATTGCTTTGACGGTAGCATCGTGTTGCTCTACTTCATAGTACATGAACAAACCCATTTATCCCTATCTGTCATTTCATAACTTGCGAGGTATCTGTCACTTCTGCTCCCATGGGACTCCTGTATGTAAGTTGCTTTTTTTTTTTTGCTCTAATTGAGCATTTTATTTAACTGACAGTTTATTCTATACTAATAAGTCATATCTAATGGTTTTTGATTGGATTTGCAAGAATGTTATTTTGCTTATTTTGAATCTGTGACCAGTGATTAGGATTACATTAACACAGGGATAGGAAAGAAACAGTCTAAATTTACATAGTCTTTGTATTCATGTTTTTAAATGTCAGTGTAAGACATCCAGACATCAAGTCCGGTAACTGTGAGGAGTTTAAACTTTGGATGAACTAAAAGAAAGTTACCCTAATGTGATATGATAGTAAAGAGGTTTATAAGACAGGACTGAATCTACCAGGTGACACAGAGCTTTTAGCTGTTATTGGGTTTTGGTGTAATCCATAACATCAAGTGGGCATTCACAGTTAAGCAACTAGGAGTTTTCATTGTGTGATTCATCAACTTGTTTTAGTGAGTAAAGGCTTAGTGGGCTTATGGAGCTGATAGTATTCAGGCATATGGGATCTGAATATACAGCCAGGACACATACACTACTGTGCACTGATGGATGCTGTACCACTTTCAACACTTTGTGTTTTCAGGCCCTGAGCTAGGCCTTCAGGTTGTGATACAATGAACTGATCAGACAAGGTATTAGTACATGACAGCACTACTGTATGTGATGTTAGACTTTATTTTTCTGTATACTGTTTTATAACTTCACATCACTTTAAACATATTGTTGTGTTTCATGGTTTTATGTAGCCTGATGCTTCTCACACATGATTTGTGTGTATGTTGTATTTAAGATACAGATGCAAAACCTGAGTTTCTTTTGAAGGACTAGCAGAAGCAGAATGAGATGAGGAGTTATTTTGGCGATGGAGATTAAGGCAGGGGCTTTTTGTCATTTGTGCGAGACAAGCCATTCATCCATCCAGTTCACAGCCAAAAAAAGGCTGGTCCCAGAAATTAGCAGTTTCAGCTCAGCAACAAAGTCGTCGGGCTGTGAAGGCAGAGAGAAATTGACTAATTAGCAATGCGCACTAAAACTTGACGGTTCTCTCTATAACAGCGAGGGAAAGACTCGGTTTTTCTCCCCCTTTCTCTTTTCTTTCTTCCATAGATGTTTGAAATCGCAGTCATTTACGCTCGACAGTTTTTACAATAGCCTTGAGCCATAATTTTGCGAGTCTCTCCAGCATCCATACCCCTGCATGGTCTCTCTCCACCGGCCATGCACGACCGTTTCTCTCCCCAACCGTGGATTTCCTATTACTCTCGTTACGACTCACTGAGCCCCAGGCCCAAGGATAATGATGTGTTGTTTCTTGGTAGCATAATTTGTCACACGTATATTTCTTCTTCTTCTTCTCTTGCAGAAAGCACAGCTCCCTCTCACACACTCACACACTTCTTGTTAATTCAGAAGAACAAATGATCAACGTCAACAAATAACCTGAAATAGTGACTTTATGAGTTGGAATCAATGGTTATTTTGAGACACCACCGACCATAGACTTTAAAGGAAAGGACATTTATTAAAAGGAGAACAAAGGAAAATTCAAGTGAGATTATTGGGAACCCGAAGGTTACTTTCTTTTTTGTCAAGAGCTGAAGTCAGGTAAGTTTGGCTCCTTCTCAGGCAAGCTGCTCACATCATTTAGTTGTGACAGGCGCTTTTAGTGAATCTGGCGACAACGTTAGAGCACGGTTGTGTCAAGTTTACACACATTACGCACATAGAAATAGCTTTTGTATCGCATATAAACAATAGATATGCATAATACATTTAACTTTACCGAAAGCTGCATTTCAGTGAATATTTGTCGATACTCACCCCCGCGTAACTCAGGTAGGCTAAAAGCGAAACGCACCGTACTGCTGCTGACGGCTCGGAGACAAACTAATTGCTTTTGTATGACTGTAAATCTGTGCGATGTGTAATGTCCTCACTGTGGGGGTGTGCGGCTAGATAGGACAAGCAATAAGTGTTAGCTGAATGCTGCATGATATCCGTGCTATCCGCGGTCGTTTCTTTTTCCTTATCCGACAACTTCAGCCGCGTCGCCGGGGGGAGAGCGCTGCAGCATCTCCATATCCTTGTTTTGTTTTGACAGCGCCCTTCAAGCCTCAGCATCCATTTAAATCATCTTATTCTCGAGTTAAGAATGAATAAGAGTGGCACGCTGTGGGAACTACTGCGTTTTTGTTTGTTGCTTTACGAGCGAAGCTCAAAGTTGAAAACGGCTGAAACCGTATTGGATGTAGATTCACACTGGCTGGCATGGCATGGTGGTTATTCCCCGCTGGATGGACGGGCAAACTATTCGATAACGTATTCCAGAAATCGTTTTGTATTGTGATATTTGACCAATCGCATCTATAAGTTACGTGTGTTGTTCAAATAAATGACCTGAGGTAAATGGCTTGCATGGTCTATTTGTTGCCTAGGTGGCGTTCACAGTCAGGAAGTCATGTCCAGATCGGGTGATAGAACATCCACCTTTGACCCAACACACAGTGACACCCTCCTGCATGGACTCAATCTCTTATGGAGGAAACAGCTTTTCTGCGACGTGACTCTCACAGCCCAGGGACAGCAGTTCCACTGCCACAAAGCTGTGCTGGCATCCTGCTCCCAGTATTTCAGATCTCTCTTCTCCTCTCATAATGTAATCAACAATGAGGGGAGCAAAGGGGACCAGGGCAGCAGTGGGACCCCCTCGTCCTCTCCTGATGACAAGCTGGTAACCCCCAGCACCAGGCCAATCAATAACCTGGTACTCCAGGGCTGCTCCTCTATTGGACTACGATTAGTGCTGGAGTACCTGTAAGGCAGAGGTGCTCTCAGTCAGCAAGATCCTCAACATCCCCCAGGTCACTAAGCTCAGTGTGCAGTTCCTCAATGACCAGATCTCTGTGCAGAACTACAAGCAGATCTGCAAGATTGCCGCACTCCACGGACTGGATGAGACTAAGAAGCTGGCCAACAAGTACCTGGTAGAGGATGTGCTGCTGCTGAACTTTGAGGAGATGTGTGCCATGCTAGATGCTCTGCCACCCCCAGTGGAGTCAGAGCTGGCTCTCTTCCAGATGTCTGTCCTCTGGCTAGAGCATGACCGGGAGACTCGCATGCACTATGCGCCGGACCTTATGAAGAGGCTGCGCTTCGCCCTCATACCTGCCCCAGAGCTGGTGGAGAGGGTGCAGTCAGTTGATTTCATGAGGAGTGACCCTGTGTGCCAGAAACTACTCCTGGATGCCATGAATTACCACCTGATGCCCTTTAGGCAGCACTGCAGGCAGACCCTGGCCAGCCGGTGAGAAAGAAACAGATGCAAATAGAAACACACAGAACATGCATTCACACATGCACACCCCCCCACACACACAAACACACAGCAATGAGGTATTACAGAGTGGACAGAGGGTGATTAAATGCCTCCCACTTGTTAAATTTGAACAAATTGCAGACTCAATTATTGACCACTCACTCCAGTATTGGTCTGTGTATCACCTATGTAGTCTAGACCATGTACAGTAGGTAGTTCGTCAGAGGTGTGAGATTTGAGGCCCACTTAATGAGGATTGTGGGGGTTTTCCTGCAAAAGAATGCCAGCTGTAAGAGTGGTTGATCTACTCTATGCTACACTGTATCCGTAATTACAAGATTACCTTATGTTTTAGTGAAGAAAAAGCAACTCTTTATTTCCTCACACATCTGTGTAATTGCTGTCTAATCAGTGTAGACAAGATGCAGCAAACTAGATAAAAGCTATGCATTTGATTTGTGGCAACTCTCATGAATACAATTTGAAATGCTGTAATTAGATTGTTACCAGAATTATATGGCAATTACATAACAATTCTGATGTAAATACAGTGATAACCTGTTATTGATAATAGGATAAACAAAAATGTAACACAAGAAAAGGGAATTTAGTTTATTTAAATTTGTAATACACTTGATAAAATATTCATTTTTTAATCACAGACAGATGAACAATGCTCCTGATCCATGTTAGATGCACATCCCTCATTCACACAAAACTAGGCCAAGCATCATGGCTTACTTCCATGTTTGTCCTAATCAGCACTTTAAGGAGCTGGTAAGTAGACAGCTGTTGTCAGGATGCTGATTGATTGACGGTGCTGTTGTCAGGTTGTGTTTAGAGAGCTGATTGTAGTCACTCAGTCAAAGCTGACATTTTTTTGAACAGTGATGGCAGTAATTCAGTAATTGTAAATCTCCGTGTATATATGGTAGTAGAGCAAAAATAAGACCGTGGCATTAGAGACTCTTTAAACTTTAAAATCAAATCAGTCAAATCAAAACAGAAGTAGAATCCTTTTTCACATATCTGTTTCTACAATATCACAGTCACATATCTTTTCCCACATATGGACCTAAATGAGCAAGGAATCAGGAATGCTCATAATTAGCTTCACATGCCACTGTTTCTCTCCTCTCAATTAATCACCATTATCTATGTCCAGGGGCTCATTTGCATATGAATCACCCCAAAACACTTCAGTGTGGGCCAGTAGCAGGGAGAATGCACCAAGATGACAGGAATTTACCCAAGCATAAAAAAGTAAAATATAAAAAAGGGGAAAAAAGGTGAACATGTCTGAATATAAAGGCCAACTGCTCTTAATCTCTTTACTGCATATTGTGATTAATTGGTAGAATTGTGTTGAAATCCATTAAGAGCCATATAATGGTCATTAATGTACAGTAAAGTGTGCAGCTTTTAGGTTATATATCATATACATACAGCAGGAAATATCTCACAACTGGCTCAGAGATGTCACATGAATCATCGTAGCCAATGAAATGGAGACATTCTATATAGACAGGTTTATGTTCTCAATTGTGCTTTTAGCCTCCAGCATGGCACCCTGCAGGATCGTCCAGGCTTCACAGCTAATTGAAAAGATCTCTTTAGAGTACAATAACCATTCAGTAACACATCAAAAGGATAAGTGCGCTGTTGAGCAATTTTTTGTTAATTGTAATAAACGCGACCACATATTGCCCGATTAGTTGTCTCAAGTTCACTAGTTGTACTCATACAATTATGCATTTATTTCTTATCCCACTCACTGATTAAGTCACTTGCACACTGAGCATTTGCACAGTGAAAAATCAAAATACACTGGGCACTTTTAATACTATGAATGGAGTTATGTAAATTAAGGAATTAAAGGTATCCAGGTTCACATTGAGGGCATAATACTGTACCTGTTTTGTTATCTGTTTCTTAACACATGTCCACAAACCCTTTCTTTTGACATTACAGAATTCGTTCCAGTAAGAGAATGCTGTTACTGGTGGGTGGTTTGCCTCCTGGACCTGATCGTCTTCCCAGCAATTTGGTCCAGTACTATGACGATGAGAAAAAGACATGGAAGATCCTCACAAGTGAGTTCCAAGGGTTCTGCTGCCTCTTTCTTTAAACCTGCGCTGCCTGTCTTTTTTTAACCTGAGGCATCTTGTGTTAGTGGCTATTATAATGAGAAATAGTTGTTCTTATAGATGACTTGAACACAGGTTAATTTCTACAGAAAATGGAGCGAAGGAGTTCCCTAAATCCTTCAGGTAATAATGTATCACTATCATTTTTAATATAAGTTTTTAATCAGAGCGTGACTTCACAGCACTGTGGAGCTTCATGCCCGGTTTCCCTTGTTTTTGCTGAAATATGCTGGCAGGATGCTTGATGAGATTTACTTGAATCTAATGATCTATTGTGGCAGAGATAGAACAAGAATGAATGACATCTTTCCTCAATAGCCTTTAAATGTAGTTTAATTATTCTCTCACACTGATCAATATATAAGATTGAATTACCCCATATGTACTAATACACTACAGTGAATTAGCCTGTTGACCTGGTGTCACTATTGATATTAGGTTTATATAAGGTGAGGCAAATGCCAGCTGATAAGGTCAGGAAGACAGCAGCTGTAAAGTTTATACAAATTGTCAAAATATATAATGATTTTACTGTAAGTGACTAAACATAAATAATAATGCAAATAAAAGAAAACAGACATCCTATAACCTGTGAGAATTTGTACTAGGGTATGGTTTATGATGTTGATTTCAGGATATGATTTTGAATGCATGTCATAATTCCACTAAAAGCTATACTACTGAAATAATGCAAGGTCTTTGGGGAACACATTTTTGTGATTTTGCAAGCAGCACGCGCCTCCATAAAGTATACAATGCTATTTTTTCTCTCTGTCTTCCTTGACCTTTGAAGACTCACCACTATGTTGTTGCCATATTGCTATAAAGGTCAAACAAAAGCTAATGGGAGCCCATATTTGCCCCTTGCATCATCATTGCTGGACATATTGAGTTTTTGTCCTTTTTTTGGTTGGAGCTACATCTCAGCAGCATCTCTGCATTCGTACATATTAGCCAAAGGTCTGTTTTCCTTCAGCTCAGCCCTGTGCAGTTTATTGGTTCACTTAATGGGCACAAGTTTTTAATGCATCTGGTGTGATGTTTCCGTTGTTGTCTTAATTCACCAACAACTCTTTGCATGGTTTCTTTCTGTGCTTGACTTAACTTTTTTTTTTTTTTTTTGCAGTCATCTGTTATTTTAGTTCATGTTTGTCCAAATCTATCAAGGTGCATTATACTAAAGAAGGCAGGCATTCACAACAGCCTGAAGCTTACTAGTGTTTATATTGTCATTTTCTCATTAAACCTACACTCCTGGGTATAAACTGCAACAAGCAAAAGGTCAGTAGGGATTTCCATCACTCAAAACTAGAAAGTTAACACTCAAATGGTCCGTGGCCAAGTGGAAGGACAAAACTGCAAAATCATCCCCTTAACACATCAGTAACCATCTGATGTAGCCTCCACACAATGGATGTGGAATAGCAGATTATTAACATTCAATCATAACTTTTCAATGAGGCGAAACCTGAGAGGGACAGCCTTTGATTAAGACATTCATCAACACAATTTGGGAAGAATCTGGTCCCTCTTGTTGTGTCAGATAGATCTGCTGCTCAGTGATTCTAGTGTAAAGTTTGCCATCTAGTGTACCTACAGCAGCGTGGACGAGCACAAGACAAAAGGCAGGCAAAGACTCAGGCACAATGCTTGACTATTCTCTTCTTCTTCTTCTTTAAATCAACCTGATATTAAACTCTCACACTTGGAAATGGCCCTCATCCACGCAGCATGGGCTAGAACAAAGGAATTCAGCTCAGTGGGATGCAGTTGTAATGGTGCTAAAGGCACGTCAGAGCTTGAGCAGCAGTGGTGCATTAGCTGTGGAGTCATTCAACCGACCCTGGCTGTGCCTGTATGCAGAGGTTTCTAACTCCCTCTAGTGAGCCCTAGAGCTCACTGTAGACTGGAGTGATGTTGTCCATCTCGTGGAGGACGTGTTCATCCTGCCCTGCTATGGCTGCTCACCCCTGGGGTTAATGCAAGAGTTTGGGTAGGGGCAAAGTATAGTTAGGCACTTTTTCTCAGGTGATATTATGAAGTAAAATCTTACATGTTAGAAGGAAAATTGTGTTTTATTTTTACACTGTAGAAGACTATTAGAGTAGCCTTAATTACTATACCTTGGTACTTATCCCACTGTTCACCTGTATCTGTAGCACATGTAGAACAGTCCCAAATCCTCCCACAGTACTTCTCATACTGTAGCCTTTGACATACTGTAAAGCAGTAATCTTCTTTTCGCATGGGATTCAAGATGATTTTCAGTATGAGTACAACTTGCTAGACATCAAATAAAAAGCCACCCATCCGTGTCCTATATACTGCTGGCTGAATGATAATGTAAATAGCATGTAAGGGAATTTGGCAGTCATATGGCACTCGTCTTTGAGGTGCACTGGAGGCAGGCAACCTAATCCCTTCGTTCGAGATAAAGCTGTGTTTAGAGTATGTAGTATTAGTTCCTATCTGAGACTCCTCTCCCATAGAGAGGGCCGACACATGTCAACCAGCCAGAGTGAGATTGCAGGGAGAGGCCAATTGGAAAGAAATGAGATTCAAGGCTGTCTAATTTTGCAGCAACTGTGATCCATCAGACGGTGGGGAGGTGACAGTGGAAATGACTGATGGAGACAGACAGGTGGGCTTTAACATTTCACTGATTTGCGCTCAAAAAGCACCAGGCCTGAGATTTATTGAGTGAACACGATCATGTTCATTATGACTGTCACCTAAGACCATTTCTCCACATCTCAATGGGGTCACTTCAGCAAGAGAAGATGGAGGAGAGGAAGGAAGCACAAAAACATACACAAGGGAAAATCCTCCACGAGGGGGTCCTGCTGCAGCTGTGGGCCTGTAGCCTTTTCTGCTAATACATAAAGAGGAGTATGAAACACTAAAGATTATATTTATTGGTTGTATTTAATACATTACCTATATGTGCCAAATATATTAAACTTATCACCACACAAGAAATAATTGTAATGCTAGATGAAGAGAAAACTTGCATTGTGAGTTTCAGTTCTTATGATAAGTTAATGGCAGACAGACAGACAGGTATATATAGATAGATAGATAGATAGATAGATAGATAGATAGATAGATAAGAGTCAACAGGGTCAGCAGACTTGATTCCTCACAAGAAATCACTTCCTGCAAATGGATGATTGGAAAGTTCTATAACAAGAACAAGGAGGAAGGCAAATAAATCACATAACATTAACTCACACTGAGGATTGTGAAATAGATGTCTGGCCGTCATTACAATAAGCACTTTGGCCTGTTGGTCTGAGTACACTGCATATTAAATCGATCTTGACATTAATACTGTATGCACTGTGAGTACCCTCTGTCAAACAATAGCACACTCAGCATTACCAAATAAACACAATGAAAAACACTGCTAGTACAAATACTGCTTAGAAAAAAGTTAAGGTAGCACTTTGTATAACATTTATGAATAAAACAGACTTTAAAAACTGCTTGTTTTAGGATTATATCTGAGGGCAATGTTATTTTTTCCCACAGTACATACTGCAAGTGCTAACCAAGTCACTACAGCTCAGTTGTTGGTGTTTGTTTCCAAAATAACAGTTTTAAAATGTATTGTTAAGTAAAAACCGTCTTGGTAGGGAAAACATGCTATCAGGATGCTGTTTATTTTATGCTGCCACTTATTAAAGTTTGTCAGATGTTTTCTGTAGTTAGATAACAATACACTGTACATACAAATTCATGTAAATGTCACTAGAGATGTGATCTAATATTAATCAATGAAGAGAGATGGACAGCCCTAACCCTAAAATGCTAAAGTTAAGTCTATTTTAACATATCCAAATTAAGTGACCCATGACTTCAAACAGTTTTAATTCTACTGCTTCAGCCTATTTGATCATTATCTTTCCTCAGGTGGCCAAATCATTCCATTATTGCATTTCTGTGACAGATCCCTTTTGATTTTTTTGTCTTATCTAGTAATGCCTTACAACAGCGCCCATCATTGCGTGGTGGAGGTAGAGAACTTCCTGCTGCTGCTGGGTGGAGAGGACCAGTGGAACCCCAACGGTACAGTAACGCCACAGACGGAACATCTTGCTTTCCAGTGATCACACAGCAAATTTGTCAGTGCTGACTTAATGGTGCACGCACTCTCGACCACGTTTATGTAAGTTCAAACCCATCCGAGTTAATGCAACACTTTTGGATAGTTTCAGACACTCATCCTTTTGCCAGATCAGCTCTGAGTGGGCAAACAACACTCCAGTCAACACTTGTCAATAAATGGCACAGAGAAATAAGTGTTAATAACACTGAAGTATTTGTGGTGTGTTAATATTGCTTTGTACTAAATGGTGGTAACATACCATCATAGTAAGAAACAAAAGAAAAATTCACACTGTCTTTTTGTTCTTATTTCACCAAGTGTCAAAACCAGATCACTCTGGGTGAAAAAACCATTCAGTCAACACTTGTTAACTCTAATAGTGGTGAAAATCAGCACATTTTAACACTGAAAGTTATGTGTGGATGGTGATTTCCAGATAAATGAAGACTTGTAGAGTCACTGTTTTGCATTTTAATGGTAAGTAAGTATAAGTATTTGGCAAAGACAGTTACTGTAGAAGTGAGCAGTATGTCTCAACACTGTTGTCATGTTAAGAGATTATTCAGCTAAACCATATGAACAGTCATTTTCAATAATCCTTTATTTCTATCTGTTGTACAGGAAAGCACAGCACTAATTTTGTCAGCCGCTACGATCCCAGATTCAACAGTTGGATACAGTTGCCTCCTATGCAGGAAAGGTGAGCCTTTTTTTATTTGAATACAGAATTGTGGTCGCATGGTGACGCTGTGGTTAGTGCTGTTGTGTCATAGCAAGAAGGTTCCGGGTTCAGGCCCCGGCTGACCTGGGGCGTTTCTGTGTGGAGTTTGCGTGTTCTCCCTGTAGCTGGGTAGGTTCTCTCTGGGTACTCTGGCTTCCTCCCAAAGAAATGCAGCTTAGGTTGACTGGTGACTCTAAATTGCCCCTAGGAGTGTGCGTGGTTGTTTGTCTCTAAGTGTCAGCCCTGTGATAGACTGGTGACCTATCCAGGGTGGACCCTGCCTCTTGCCCAGTGTCAGCTGGGATTTGCTTCAGCCCCCCCCTACACAAACACACCATTTTCTATTGTTTTTATTATGAAGCACTTTATAATTTTGTTTTTGAAAAATGCTGTATACTGTAAATAAAGTTATTATTGCTTTTGTTTAAATGTATATTACATTAGTGGTACCCAGAGGGCAGTACACAGCAGGTATTTACATACATCGGATGATGCACTGAACGACAGCAGAACTCCCAGGGATCTTAGCGTAGCTGTATAAACATCACAGTCTTCTGTTAATGGAAACAAACATGAAATTATGATCAAATAAAAAGATTAGATTTTTAAAAAATCAGTTAGTATAAATTAAGTTAGAATGTCTAACACAAAATCAGCAGAACTGGTATTAAAGCGGGTGCTCACAATCAAGAAAGTGGGCAAGCATGTACTGTAACTACTGCATCCCTAAGCCCCAGAAACTGGAAAATCCTACAATGAATCTTGTCTTTGCCGGTTTAATGATGTTGTCTGGTTGACACGTCCTCCTCAGGAGAGCCAGTTTCTTTGCCTGCCGCCTGGATAAGCACCTGTACGTGATTGGTGGTAGGAACGAGACAGGCTACCTCTCCAGTGTGGAGTCCTACAACCTGGAGACTAACGAGTGGAACTACGTCTCATCTCTGCCGCAGCCTTTGGCCGCCCATGCAGGGGCAGTACACAATGGCAAGATCTACATATCAGGTTAGGAGAGAAACTGTTTCTCAGCAGTGTCACACTTATTTTCTTTTGGAAAGTGGTACCTGATGTGCACGGCATAGCCTGACAGATAAACATATCCACAGTACAGACAAGTAAATTCCACAAGACAGACATAGTTATTAGTCACTTTGAAGATTATGGTTTTATATACAAAAGGTGATCAGGTTATAAAATATAATACATTGTTATGGATGAAATGGATTAGCATTAAATTAACACATTATTTGACACATACATAAATAAGAAAACACCAGGAGCTGTGAGAAAAATGGTAAAAGTCTCCATTATACCATAAAAATAAATGTCCAAACTCTTAAAAGTGACATTTTGTCTTAAATGTTAGCACTGTCTAAAGTTTGGTTAAAACAAAGTGCAAAAGTATCAAAGGTAGTACAGAGCAAAGAGGAAAACTTCAGATTTGTATTTTTCTTACTAAAGACTTGATTAAATACCTGGTCCACCCTTTTTGTTTTGATTGTCACCAGCAAAGTTTCTTAATCATTTCCTAACTGGCTAACAGTGCCATGACATATCACAATACAAATGTTTTTAAAATAACTCAAAATGATGTCTGTATAATACTTCTCTTTTCTGAACCGTATAACATCTATTGTACTAGTGACATTTAAATCAGTCAAAGACTCACACCAACACCGAAAGTAATGAAACAAAATCCTCCCCTTCAAAAAGCTGACCATCACTGAATCATCAGTGAACTTTATGATGTGACAGTTTGATTTGATTTGATTTGATTTATTCTTTCAAACATGTAACAACAGTCAATATGTCAACACACATAATTCCACACATATCCACAAATATATTTTCAATTTGCTTATACCTAGTACATGCTTGAACGGAGTAGGAAGAAGTTAGACTTATCTAGTCCTACCCCCTAACATCATCTTATCATCATTGGTTTGCAAGCAGTATTACTACATGGATACATATTCTACATCCACACTCCCATCTGATTAATCATTAAGCCTGTTCTTGCCCATATCTTGATTGACA